ACGCGACCAGGGCCGATGACGGCGCGTTCTTCGGTCTTGGCCATATACCCAACAGCGACTGCACAAGTGTCGGGGACGTCGAGCCCGATGCAGTGGATCCGTCACTAGAATACGTCTCCCGTCCATTGAAACGGAAGCGATGCGCGGACACAAGCACCTATGATGTTCGCGTAAAGAGAGCGCGGACGTCTGGCACTTCGAGCGGCGCAACTAAGGCCGAGGACCGCGCTTGTTTCGGTCTTGGGCATATTTCCACTCACGACTACACGAAGAGTAGGGTCGTCGACCCGGATGCTGTTCACGTGGTCCACCCCCGTATTGACCTATACGTGCCACTTGAAGCCACCGCGCGCCCGCCGAAGCGAAAACGCTGTGCGGACCCGACGACCGATGAGGTCCGTATAAAGAGAAGGCGGTTGTCTGACAGTCCGAGCGACGCGTCAAAACTCAAGGATGGCGATCTTTTTGGACCTCACCCTCGATGCATGATCACGGGCTGCGTGTCTGCTGAGGTGGAGGCGTGCTACATCCTGCCTCCCGACACGCCCCAACCGTTAGTGAGTAGGGCGGTTACTACTTCGGCCTCGCAGCTGACAAGGCAGCTTTGTAGAACGACTGCACGACGCTTCTCGTGCCTACTGACTCTAATGCCGTCCATTGTAGCACGCCTGCAAACATCATATTCCGTGCGTGCTTGCTGATAGCCAGTCCTTTAAACCTTCTCTTACAGCCCACATGCAGTCCGACGCGACCTGCGTTTATTATGGAAAACGAACCGCCTGTTAATGATACCCCATCCCGATCATATAAATCACCCCGATACCCGCCCTGTATGTATGGTATGCCCTTCCAGGTGGTCGCCGTACTCACAGTCGAGTAGGTCTACACATACCACGTCATCGCAGAGGATGAGCACCCTGCAGACTCGCGCAAACCCAGGGATGATACCACTACATCCCCAGTTGCGACAGCTACTAGCTCGTATCGCTCGCTGGGGTGGCATGACCTGAGTGCAAATCTGCATCTGATGACAGTTCGAGTGGGTCGTGAATTCATCAAGCGACCGCTCCACTACCAGCATTTATTACCTACAGACGCTCTTGTACAGATACCCATCATCAGGCTGGTCCACCCAGATGCAGTCGAGCCGGCCTCCCTCCACATTGAACAGGAATCGCCAGTCAAAGACATCCCCCGCCCGCCGAAGCGGAAATGGTGTCCGGACACAGAGCCTGATGAAGTTCCTGCCAAGAGAGTGCGCACTGCAAGCGAGGCGTCCAAGGACCGCATTCCTTTCGGACCTCACCCGAGGTGCATGATCACTGGGTGCGTGTCTGCTGATGTAGAAGCGTGTTATATACTGCCTCCCGACATGCCTCAGCTATTGGTGAGTAGGTATGACTGCTACTTCGTATTTGTGGCTGACAAGTGAATCAAAAGATTGACTACATGACATTCAACATGTGTACCGACTATGACGTCTTCCTGTGTCACGCGCCTGAGAATATTATATTCCGTGCGTGATTGATATGGTTCCCTCCGTCCTTTGAAGCCTCACCTACCGCATGCAGTTCGACGGGACCTCCGGGAACTGTGGGAAACGAACCGCTTGTTGATGATACCACATCCTCAGCATTTAGAGGATTTTGATTATTGCACTGTATGTATCGCACGCCCTCTTGATCAATCGCGTGCTTATGGTGACACAGGTGTACAAGTATTACGTCATCGCAGAGGACGAGCACCCTCCAGACTCATGCGCGACCATGGGACACCCTATTACACCTTCCGTCATGACGGCACCATGCTCATATCGCTCGCTTGGATGGCACGAGCTGGACGCCGATCTCTATTCGATGGCTTTTCATGCGGGTCGGAAATTGAGCAAGCGACCACTGCACTACCAGCATATCTTGCGGGAGTTGCTGCCCCATAAGGAGGTCAATCATACGTACATCATAATCGGTCAGTATGTGGAGTGGGCAGACCCACTGTCTTCAGACATGGTACCCAACAGACGGTTATGGACAACCGGCGAACCCTCACCATGTCCTGATGGTTATTACCGCCGCCCCTTCACCGAATATTGCTCTCCTCTGTCGGATGACGACACAGCCCGCTTTCCTCGCCGATCTCGGTTTGTCGTCTCAGGGATAAAGAGGAATTGTTCTGGGAACACCAGAGTGGACAGTGAGGCCTGCACCATGAAAGAATATGCCCAGCAAGTAGCCAGCGTCCGTGAGTGGTGCCGGGATTGCGATCAAGCTCGAGACGAGTGGACGATAGGACCGCTTGCGGAACCTGAGGACCCAGAGTTGCTCGCTTATCAACAAGAGGAAGTGAAAGATGTGGTGTCTGCTGTAGAACAACTCTGGTCGGATGAAGACTTTTTCTCAAGGTATGTTCTCTGGTAGATCTGCAGGTGCAAGTGTAGCTGACGTCGTCTTATCCGAAATAAAATCATATACAGACACGGTCCCGAATTGTGACATCTGGCCTTATCCCTCATTCTGTTACGCTTTGCACCCGCCGCACAGGTCTTGAATATACCCAGAAAGGTCTGTTAAGGTCGACACACCATCGCGATTGGAGCCTCCGTGATCACGATGTGCCACAGGCGACAATGAACTGATCCTGGCCTCTCCGCTCTTCACTGATGAGCCAGACGTGCTCCCTGGCCGTGCCTAGCGATTGCTGGCAAGGGACGGGAAGTACAGTTGTATTGAGGGGCATTGCATTGCCTTAGTCCACTCATATTCACTATATTCTCCTATGATGTCTGTAGCTCTCGGGCCATCAGCTGCCTCTCGGAGTTTATTTCCGGCGGTGGCAGTGGCATGCAACCACGTGCGTAGCGTCTATCAGGCGTCGATACATACCACCTTCCTTCCGATGAGAACATCCGGTATGTTGGATCTGTGTCCATTTATTCCGTTTACTGATGTTCGCAACACAGGGTCTTGTTATTCAATGAACGATCTCCACCAATATGGCCGAACGGAGTGCAATCGTCAGACATCAGGATCTGACCTCGTTTTTGAAACCCGAGCATCCCTAGCATACATGACAATCGCTAGCAGCAGCATGACGTACAATGCCAACTCATTTTACAATATACCCGTATGTGCATACGGCAGCGATCTGGTGTTGGTGACTGACCGAAAAGCACTTCAGGCCCTAGTGGACTAGCCTGTGGGCATCAGCTTTCCGTATATCAATCTGCCTGTCTTCTGCGAGATGCGGCAGTCGATCTGTGGAATATGGAAACTGCAAGCATGTGTCGTCGATGCTGATCAATACTGCAAATCATCTTCCCCGACTTCCAATTCCGCTCCTACAAGCGGCAGGCTTTAAGCTTCAAAAAGAATTGTAACTCCTTTCACTGCCGTAATGACCAAGCATGGCAGCTGATACCGCCTTGCAGAAATGGTGGCCACTGATCGCGCCTTCCGTGCATTGCTGCAACGTCAGAACCACATGTTGTACAATCAGGACAATCTGCTGGTGTCTCTGAGCCATGCACATGGTTCGATTCATTCTGTTGACCGCCTCAGACCCCTTCTCGTGTTATCGTCAGCAGTCGCATATGCAGTTCCGTTGTAGGCGGCGGCAGAGACTAGGTAAGAGACGCATCTGTTGGGCAACACTGGCGTTTCCTGACTCAGTTCTACGGCTAGATCGTGATGTGCTGCCAGCATGGGAACATAACAACCATACGGGGCAGCTCAGCTCAACTGTGGCGCTGCATTTATATACCCGCTCTAAGACGAGCGCGACTGAGTCCGCAGCCTCTAGTTGGACCTATAGTTTGTCCTCATTGCATTGTATATGAGGGCAATGCTGTAAGTTCATTCCTTGATCACGTCATACAAGCCGCTGATCCCATCACCAAAACTGTCACCTCCATCATTTTAGCGTCCTCTTAGTCGCAAGTCCAGATCCTCGCTATGACCTAGAGGTTTGATTGATCTGGTAGTCGGACAAACAGACCATCTTTGCACGTATTCCACCAACGAGTGATGCTAGACACCATTCGGCGATTGGTCTATTGACGAAGGGCCTGGTGGCACTGCTGCATACAGACATCGGACCACTGCACGATCGTCGAGGAAAATCCACGCGTCCCTGCACGACCAGGTGATTGCTTTATACCCAACCGCTTCCTCGCTACAGAGGCTGAATGACGGCATCGCCGCGCTCTCTTGCTCGACCTCGCACTTCAAATAGCTCTCGTACTGGGCACCCGAATGGCTCAAGAGCAATCCAAGTGAATCGGCCGCGTGGTCCACGTGCTGACATTGCCGCCTCGACACTACCATGGAGGATCGGCGCGACTTGCACTGAGCACCGATGATACAACTGCCCCGTATGTGAGCCGACTTTCTCGAGCTGCCGTTATTTAGCCTTCTGTAGAATCCCCCCACCTGTCTATGCTGGACTAGACACGAGACACCCACCCGGTTTTCCCTCAGGAATAGTGTGATACGCTCGAGAGGCGCGCTTGCTTCACAATATCTCATGCATCATGCCGTGCTCAATCTTCCTAGTTGCTATCCTTTGTCCATGCACTGCACATAGAGCCCCCATTTGGTGATGCTGGTGCTCTCGTTTTCGTCGATTTCTCGAACCCGATGGGATGTTTTCCTTTGTCCACGTGTTAGCAGCTATGCATACCGAACTCACTTTTCTCCTTGAGAAATCACAGGGATGATGTTCTGACACACCAGCATGGGACCTTGAGCAGCATGGTTCTATATGTGACACTAGAGCATGAGCAATTGGCCTATCTGTTCTTTGCAAACAGAGGAGGGTCACTGTCGCAACTTAGGGTCAAGTGATGGGGGAAAATCAAACAAAGGCGCCGGGGGCGTTTGACTAGGTCTTATCAGAGTGATGGTGAGCTAGGCTCAAACCTAAGGCTAGGGACAAAATAATGTATTAGTTAGTGAGGCTGTGCACACTGGTCCGTGCACAGCTGGTCCGTGCACAGCATGCTGACATGGCCTCAGGGGCTGGTGAGTCAGAGAGGCTGTGTCAGCGGAGCCTGAGCTGTGCTGCGCACTGCCACACATCTAATCTAATCGTACAGTAGATAGCGATGCATCCATATCAGGCATGTAGTACAGAGGTCGCAGGTTTGAGCCCACAAAAAGGAAAAAATTAAAAAAAGGCTAGACACCATACCAAGGCGTGACATTACCCCCCCCCCTCAATGGCGCATGACCTCATGCGAGGTGCCCTTGCCCATCTCCCACCTGGAGCGGCAGCGTGCTTCAGTCAGTGGTGAAGGCATTGGCTGAAAGTTGGGACCACCAAAGACAGTGGCATTGAGGCGGCGAGGGGTGTTCGGGTTCTTCCAGTGGAAGTTGGCTATGAGGGCCGGCGCATTGGCAACGTTGCGCGCCGGTTCCCATGATGTATGCGAGTCGTTATAACCCTTCCACTTGACGAGGTACTGCGGCTGACGCCGGAAGATCCTCAAATCTTTGATCCGCTCAACCTCGTACTCCTCGTCACCCTCAACCTTGATCGCAGGCGGCTCCTCCGGCTCTCGGCCTGGGATATCTCTGCGTGTGTACTTGCTCAGCAAGGAGACATGGAACACCGGGTGCACCGGCACTGATTTTGGCAGAACCAATTCATAGTCCAAATCTCCGAGCTTTCGCCGCACGGCATAAGGCCCGAGGCGCTTGAGACTGAGCTTCTTGCTCGGCTGTTTTAGTTTAAGGTTCCGGGCATCAAGCCAGACCTTGTCCCCGGGCACAAAGACCGGTGCCTCCTGCATGTGCTTATCATAGTACACCTTCATGCGCTTGGCTGACAGCTCAAGCACAGAGCGCGTGTCATCGTGAATCTCCTTCAGGATCTTGAGCCGATCAGCGGCCGCAGGCATCGCAGACATCGGATTGATCCGCACTTGGATCTCAGGATGGTACCCCTGATGCAGGAAGAAGGGGGAGTGCCTAGTTGCGGAGTGAACTCGGTTGTTCAATGCGAATTCCGCAAGCAGCAGCTGCTTTGCCCAATCATCCTGCCTGTGGCTTGTGAAAGCATGCAGGTACTGCTCGATCTCCTGATTCCAGCGCTCAGTCTGGCCATCCATCTGAGGGTGGAATGCTGTGGACAGTGCCGGCTCGATCCCTAGTCTCTTGTACACCGCATGGAGATACTTCGAAGTGAACTGGGGACCTCGGTCTGATATGACCTTGGCCGGGGCCCCATGATGCTTGAACACATTGCAGATGTACAGATCTGCTGCACCTTCTGCCGTCAGACTCTCATGACAGGCCAAGAAGTGGACCTGTGTCACGAGTTGGCACGGCGTCTAGCTGTTTTTTAATTTTTTCCTTTTTGCGGGCTCGAACCCGCGACCTCTGTACTACATGCCTGATATGGACACATCATTATCTACTGCATGATTAGATTAGATAGGGCAGCAGTGCACGGCACAGCTCGGGCTCCACTGACACAGCCGCTCTGACTCACCGGCCCCCGGGGCCACATCAGCATGCTGTGCACGGACCAGCTGCGCACGGACCAGTGCGCACAGCCTGCCCTCATCTTCCCCTGTATATAAGCCGGCCTCTGCTGCCCTAGGGACCTCAGTTTCGACCTCTTGTCCCTAGGTCAGTAAGCCTCCCTTGTATTCCTTCTTACCTTACTAATATATTCACTTGTCCCTAGCCTTAGGTTTGAGCATCGCTCACCATCACTTCGGTGAGAATTAGTCGGACGCCCCCCGCTTTTAGGTTTTCCCCTGTCGCTTGACCTCAAGTTGCGACATTAGGTCGAAACTCCCATAGCGGCCGGTGTTCCTCGAAACCCATACACTCACACTTTCCTTTCCTATAGGCCGGGTGGTGCGCACCCTTACTGTACCCTACGATACCTACATAGCATACGTACATCACCAACACTAAGGGAACGAACTCTTCAGTACCTGCACTTCAGTGGGCCGTACTTGTCCTCATGGACGCGTGGACTAGGTTCCTGCTACATACTAGCCAAAAGCAGTACTGGGCCCCACGTGAATCGTGAACCCTAGTGTCACCTCGGGCGCCGTAGGTGTAAGCTAGTCTACAACGGCCTTTCGTAGTATGCGCACCTCCCCTTCCTCCCTCCCTCCATCGTGGCTAAAGAAGCCTTCAACTGCGCGGGACTTGAGCATGCATTTGACATGGAAGATCACGTCGACGTCGCACGTCTAGACGCTCCAGACTCCCTCTTCTTCGACTGCAACAGACAGCTGTGCCCCAATCGAACCCT